GCTTTATTCTGACCGATTCACCCGATTCCGATCCGAATCGCCGATTTGCCGATCCGGATCGCCAATTCACCGATCCGGATCGCCGATTCACCGATCCGGATCGATTTTTGAAAAACCCGATACGGATCACCGATCCGGTTTTTAAACCATTGGTTGGGACACTAGGACCACACAAAGGTAAAATCACCCGCGCACGGAACCGGACCCCATAATTTGCCGAGGCCGCCGGGGCAACCAGAAAGGACCCACCCGGTTCGATCGACAACGGCGCGGGCTCCAATTTCACGAGTCACACCAAAGGGCAATCGCACACTTCCCATCCATTCACTCACTGATGTGATCGGGCCTTGGGATTCTTGCCGCCCATTCCACGCGTCAGCAAGAGTTGATTTTCCCTTCCTAGCAAAAATCTGTTCTCTTTTTTATCACGCGAGAATTTGCTGATGAAAAAACTCCACTCTTTTTTATCTGTAAAATAAGCATCGCTACTTTCTAGACACTCGATAGGCTCCAAAGATTTGAAATCTCTCCATATGTTCCTTCCTGTGACTGCATCTCTCTCTCCCAACCTTCAGTTCTCTCTCAAATAAGAGCAAAATGGCGTCTTTTCGTCTCTTTTCCTGTTCCTCTTCTTCTCTTTATACTGACTATGATGAATCCTCCTCTTCATCCCTCCACATTCTGAAGCTGAGGCCTAGATTCTTCCTTCTTCCGTGTTTCGAAGGATCTCGGTTTTCATCTCATGTACTCAGCAGGAGATTGTATCCTGTCGTTTGTCGTGGTAGTGTTTCAGAAAGGTATGTTTTCCCTTGCTCTGTTTTCATGAAATTCATTCTTCGTTTTTTTTCTCTGTAACTTTACATGTTCAGGCCGAAACTTCCAATTCATTGCTGCTGTTTTGCCTTTTATTTATTTTTTCATATTCAAGTCTTTGAGGGGTTTGTCATTTATATATTATCTGCTTCAGAGCTCCTCTTGTATTGTAGTGAACATATTTGAGATTCCAGTGTTTATATATGGCATATCCGTTTGGCTTGCCGTGCTGCTTTTTTGAACTTCTTAGTTTATTTGTTTTCGTAGCCAGAATCAGCAACACGTCTGTGCTGCTCTATTGAGTCGAATTCTGGTATCAAATTGCATAAATTTGGGCTAGCATTTTGTAAGTAAGGGCTGCACATGCTGGCTGTGCTTGCTTGTTATGGTATGTGAGTTTAGATTGATTGATGAATAATAATTCCGTTTGTGAACAACTGTTTTGAGCTGGAATGTCTGATCATGTTTATTGTGAAAAACCTTAAGAGAAAATTACCCCCAAAAAAAAATTTAATTTGAGAGAACTCCCTAGTGCACTACAATGCCACATCCGTCTTTAAAATGCCAAACACATAATCCATTGAATACCACGCATAATGAGATTGTTGCTATCTCTTTTGATAAAAATACCTCAGAAGATTGTCAGGTAGCTGTTTCTCTATATGTATTTCTCTTGTTTGAAAAGCTTTTGGTTTATCTTTGTTCAAGTGTCTTGGTCTTTTTTTATAACTCTTTTTAGTTGATAAAAGATCGAATGGAAGCAGTGACATGTTTTTTAAATGGATTATCTATGGTTTCTTTATTGAGTTGTATCTCTTTTATTACAAAGTTTGAAAATCAGTGTTAATTGGTTGTAGCTTAGTTCAAAATCTGGTTACCCTGCATTATATGTTTAGTATAAGATTGCTGCTGTGCATTAAACACATCTGTATAATAGAGAGACATCCAATACATTGCTAGAAAATAAAGACAGAAAGTTAACACATTTAGGTTTCTCTTTGCCATGGCCAGAGAAGCAAAGATGGCTCCAGTAGACCGTAAAAAAGGAAAGGTAGCAATTCGCATTAGATTAGACCATCAAGTCAAATTTGGTGAACACATTGCAATCACAGGTTCTTCCAAAGAGTTGGGTTCTTGGAAGAAAAATGTGGACATGTCATGGACAGAGGACGGATGGGTTGCAGATTTGAAGCTCAAAGGTGGTGAGAATGTTGAATATAAGTTTGTCATTTTGGCCAAAGAAAAAACCACTATATGGGAGGAGGGTGATAACCGAGCTTTGAAGCTACCAAAGGAGGGGAAATTCGAGATGGTTTGCCATTGGAACCAGACCAGAGAGGCTGTTAACCTGCCAGCATTTGAAGATGAAGTTGAGGTTGGATCAGAAGAAGTTGCAGTGGTGGATGATAATAGTAATAGTTCTCCATTATTGGTTGAAGTGCAGGAGCCTAGTGCATTTGTTCAAGGGTGGCAAGGAAAGGTTGTCTCCTTCATGAAATCAAACAAACATGGTGAGACAGAAAGTGCTAGGAGATGGAATACTGAAAGTCTTGAAGGCCCAGCACTGAAACTAGTCAAAGGTGACCAGAATGCCAGGAACTGGTGGCGCAAGGTATAACTAAGACATGATAAATTTCCACTCTGCATTTCTTTCTATGTATGAATATGTTTATTACAAGCCTTAGATTCTAAATTTTTTAACTAATTTATTAGTTGTTTCCTCTCTTTAGAAACTTTTATCTTAAACATTGATCTAGGTTTTGAAGCAACATGTAAGCTTTCATGTTCAAATGCTGTTTCTTGTGGCTTTAAATGCTGTTTCTTGTGGCTTTTATGGAGGTTATCTTTTGTCGAGGACACTCTAGAGGGTATTTTACTATGTTATCTTCCTTTTGAACATGATGTAACATTTTTTTTACCTTCTTACTCTGGATGCAGCTGGAAGTTGTGCGGGAGCTATTAACTCAGAATACTGAAGAAGAAAGCCGCTTGGAGTCCCTCATTTATTCTGCTATCTACCTAAAGGTTCCATATAAGAATCATTTTTATAGAATGCATTAGTTTTATAAGTCTCCTTTGTAGGTTTTATTGAGCTTATTTTGGATATTAGAGAATCCAAATGATTTCTTGATATCATTGGGGTGTTATGAACAGTTGATCAACACAGGGCAGATTCCCTGTTTTGAAGATGGAGGTCATCATAGGCCAAACAGACATGCTGAAATTTCCAGGCTTATTTTCTGTGATCTGGAGAGGATTTCCTATTCAAAAAATACATTACCTGAGGTACCACATGTATTTCAACTAATATATTTGATGGCTTCCTTGTTAACTTTGATTTCTCCTTGCTAATTGTATCTGTAATTTTATAAGCTATGCATTTCTAAGAAAAAAACTACATATATGACCTTTTGGGATTTGATGTTTATTCATTATTGGATGCATTTTGGGGAATGAAGTATATCTTCATGGAATTGCAGTCGAACTTACTTTTTGTCACTAACCGCAGTGGTCTAGTGATTTGCAACTCTATTCACCATTTTGGTTTATTTCAAACCTTTTGCTTATCTTGACCAGGATTTGGAATTTCATTTTTCTTTTGTATTTCTTTCTTGGGTCATATGAGAAATTATTGTTACCTAAATATATGAAAGTGCCAATCTGTACTTTCCACCGAAGAAACTTTGTACTTCTTTTCTTGAATTACTCAATTAGGTATACTCCAATCCATTTCTGCAGGAAATACTCATCATTCGCAAAATTCATCCATGCTTACCATCATTCAAGTCAGAATTCACAGCATCAGTTCCTTTGACGCGTATAAGAGATATTGCTCATCGAAATGACATTCCTCATGATCTCAAGGTTGTTATCCATTCATTTCTCTATGATTTCTCACATCACGTAAACAGTGGTTGTATTTTCTCTGATTAGTCTGGTTATGTTTTGTGGTTAGCAAGAAATCAAGCACACCATACAAAACAAGCTCCACCGGAATGCTGGGCCTGAAGATTTGATTGCTACAGAAGCCATGCTTTCTAGAATCACCAAGAATCCTGGAGAATACAGTGAAGCTTTTGTAGAACAGTTCAAGATATTCCATGGTGAACTAAAAGATTTCTTCAATGCTGGAAGGTGTGCTCTTGGGATAGAAGTTTGTATCTATTACTCCAAACTTCATTTTATCCCATCATTCTGAGTGCAAGTAAAACTCGAGTTTCACTGTCCCATATATAATATCTAGTCATGCAAAATTCCATAAAATGTAATGACTTTCTTGGTTACCAGGGCTGACGAAACGGTCTGAGAGGTGACCAATAGGGATATATGTAGTGAAATAAGTAATAATTGGCAGCAATTTGGAGTGTCTATATAAATGTATGAGGTCCTGAGCAAGCTTTATAGAGCAATATTCTGGCCTCATGCTGGATGGATTTTGGTAACTTTACGTGTTTAGTATCCTTGGTTTGCAGATGCTTTTCTAGGACATGTGTTTTTTTTAATATGTTAACTGTAATGCTGACATCTTCTGTCCGGTTCTTGATTGTTCATCTTGAATTTGCATTTAGAAAATGTGCTACTCAACAAATTGTTGATTTTATATTCTTCAGAAAATCATGCACTTGTCGTCCATGGTTTGTCTCTATTCTTAATTCCTGACTAGCTGAGTAAGATGGAATGCAACTTCCATGCAAGTTCTCTAGTTTGTAATTCATCCTAGTCTATATTACCTGGTGATCGGTATAGCTGCAGTGTATAACATAAGTTGAACTCAGAAGTCATCCTCTTCTGTCATCAAGTGAGATACATGGACAGGAGAAAACAAGGCAAAACATAGAAATTTTAGTGAGACTGGACCTCAAGTTCAGTGGATTTTTTTGTCATGTGTAAGTGTACTGCTCTTTCCGTTTCAAAATTTTTCCTTTTCACCATTTATCACCTTCTTAATTGGATACATCTGTTAGTTAGATGCGTCTAAAAAATACAAAATACATTATCAGAGATGCCAAAAAGCTTTGCAAATTAGCAGTCTATCACACTTAGACCAGTTAACAGGCAAGAAACTGAAGGGGTAGAAGACGCCTTATCAATTGCTTTTCCAAATTCTGCCAATTGTGGGGTACTATGGAAGAAACAGTGTGTCACAGCAAGGGGAGGATGGGGCAACTGGGAAGGAAAGGAGAGAACAGGAGTAGAGAGAGAGAGAAGGGGAATCAGATGAACAGGAGGAAAGTAAAGGCAGCTGGGAAAGGGAGTGTGAGTAAGAGGGAGAGAAAAGCGAAGTAAAAGGAATGGGAAGTGATGAAGTAATAAAACTCATAATCATAAAGCAATAAAACTTTTGCTTGTATGAGATAGAAATATTTATAAAATCCTTGGACATGGTGGAACCCACTTAAGCCTCTCTAGCTCTACTACAGATTCTGCCATGTTCGGATCTTGGTGTGAGACACACCTATCATTTTTCATGAGGCTAAGAGTTAGGGAGGAAGGAAAAGGATAAGGATGGCCATGGAAAGAGAGTATGGTGAAAAGAAGAGGGACTAATTTCAGTTCAATAAAGGTTTTTAGGTGTAAGAGAATCAGTATAAAAAAGTGAGGGGGAGCAATATCAGGGTTTAGAAGGTTGGGGGGTAAAAATAGGCAATTGATTGACGGGAAAGATCAGCTGCAGGAGATGTCAGAGGGAGTATTAGTGGAAACAAGAGAGCCATAGCACATAGGAAATGGGAAAAAGAGGGTAGGAGGGAGACGGGAGAGAAGGGGGGGTGGGCGGATTTAGTAACCATAGAGGAGAGAAGAGGTTAGAGTCCAATACTACAAACACCTCGCATAGCGAGGGTATCAACTACAATGGTGGCACCTCTGGGTAATTTGGTTGAAGATGACTGACCTTGTCTTGCACAGTGAAAAAATGTGGTCAGAGATGTAAGCTAGTCTCCGGTGGGTTTTACTTTCTTTGACGCCCAATGGATGACATTGCGAGAATGCCTTTCCACAATTAGGGTACTACTACTCATGGACAAGGTAAAATCCACTTAGGTCCCTCTAGATCAACTACAGATTCTGCCATGTGTGAGTCTTAGTGGCCCAAGTGTTGATTTTTGTTGCCTTTAAAGGCCTAGAGAGCTTGTAAAAATGATATTGATAACGAAATATGCAATTCAGTGGCAATGTGTGTCTGTTGATTGACTATGGGTTGGGCGGTTCATGACTCTGGTCATGTCCAAAACCCTTAGCTTTGGGCATGTGGTACTACTGAGAAGGGTTTGCAGTGGATCATCCCTTGTTGAGGTCAGAGAGATGCCCAGGGATCATGTTTGTAGGCCAGGAGAACTGTGTCGTCTCCTGTGTGCGGTTGTAAGCCTGAGAGCATGCGCCAAAAACCGCAACAAACATCCGCATGGCATGTACACATGATAGCTGCATTATTGGGAAGTAGCCCTATAGTGGGACACATGTACATGTACATAGAGAGAGACCCTTTTGCACTGTGGTGACCAGGGCTAAACTTGTTTTTAATGGGAGGAACTGAAATCCACATTCCAGGATCATGGTCCCACTGTTTATTGTCCATCTTTGACAAACCAATCATGAGCCCTTGCTTTGAGACTGTGGGTCGTGGGTTTTTGTTGGGTTGGATAAGAAAACTGTATTGGATCATGGTTTCTGGGGTGAGTGGAATGTCGCTTATTTTGACTCATTGGTACCAGTCCACTTCTAGTATACTTTATCTTGGTATTATAAATGTTTATATGATTTTTAATTTTTTTTTAGAATTTTAAAATTTTTTTTTGCTATTTTTCATCAAAAGGGTACTTATGAAAATTTAAGATCTTAAAATAATACGTGGGACCAAGGATCCAGCCTACATGTCTGTGTCTTTTTTATAAGAGTGAGGACCAGGTGCATGCTAGGGGTCACGCCCAATTCTTTTTTAGCAAAAGTGGCACGACCACTTTTTATGCAATAAAGGGGGCACGCCCCACCTTCTTTCTTAAAAAAAAAAAAGATTTGTTTAAATTTTTTTTGCCACGCTACCTTTTTAGCATAAAAGGTGGCACACATTATTTTGAGGGATAAATTGTCCCATGCCACTTTTCATGTTATAGGGTGGGCACGCCACCTTTATAGGAAAAGGGGGCATGCCCCATTTCAAAATTTAAATTAAGTTAGGATAGGTAATTTAATTCTAATTAGATTTGGTTTCCTATCTTTATGGGAAATCTATGATAAAGATCGATTATATTTCAAGTTTAAATAGGATTTGGACTTAGGTCAAATTCTAAGGCAATAAGGTTCCCATCTTTCCACCCAAAATCATGATGGCTGATTTTTGGGATGGATGATTCCTATTAAATCTCTCTCATTCGACAGATTTCCTATTTATCCTAAAGGTCTACTCGGAAATTGGATAAGGCAATATTTAGAAGGAATCCTGTTCCAACTAGGTGATAGATTTTTTTATATAAAGATCTAGTTTGAACCCTCTCTCTTATTACAAAATCTTTTCTCTCTCCCAAAACTAGATCCTCTATATTTCTCACTCCCCAAAGTCTTGTTTTGTCCACATCACCTTCTCTCTTCTATTTTTGGTGTCACACCACCTCTCTCCTTTTTTTTTTTTGTGTCACGCTACCCAAAAAGAATAATTGGGGTGGTGCTCTAGTAAATCCCTAGAGCAAGGACTTGCTAAATTTTGAAGAAAAAGGGAGAAGTCCAGCCCAAAGAGTGAATCAACTCATAGATTTAGCCGTAATTTGTTCCAATAGGGTTTGTGGAAATCCTAGTTGATTTTTGAGCTCTCTAAAACCCTAGAAAAAGAGTACTACCTATAAAACTTCTCTATCTCAGAAATTCCAGCAACACCTTAAGGAGTAAAAGTGCGCAATTGGTCAGGAAATTGGGTGTAGAGTGTACCAAGTCTTGGTAGGGTAACTCCAGGCATCTTCCCAATAGTTTTAATTAATATTCTGTATTATTACCTATTTTTTGTAAATTTCAAGAACTTATTTGTGTTAAAAATTATAGTGAAGGTTAGTTTAAAGGTCCTGGGTAGTTTCTATTTATCTTGACAGTGAAAATAAAGATCCTAGGTTGTATCTAGGGCATTATTTTAATTTTACAGCAACATATTGTGGCCCATGTAAGTAGAATTCAAGTACTTATAATAAAAGTATTTTTTTTATGTTTTTTTGAATTTAATACCTTGAGTTCCACATAGCCACACCTTACACCAAGAATCCTGAAAACTTTAGTATTATCCTCTCATGGTTTGACAGGCTTCCCTCGAAACCCAAAGGACCTGGGTTCCCTAAGGAGAACTCATCAATGTTAAGCTTAAGGGAATATTGTGGAGTGGACACCGAAGTAGCCGTAATACTCAGGGTCTAGAGGTTAAAGGCAAGATATTACTTCAGTTGTTAAGGAAGGTAGTAATGTCCTAGTTGTTAAAAAGCAGGTTGTTTTGAGCCCAGAACCAGGAGTCTGCGTTGACAAACTCAAACACTGAGGATCTGATTGATGCAGTGTGTTCTGAATGTTTGAGCCTCTCCCTCAACACCATCCACAATAAGCTCAAGCGGCACTCACTCAAAGGAGAACCCTTTTTCAGAAAAGAAGGTGAGAGGAACTGGGTTATAAACCCAAGAGAGAAGAGGCAATAGGGCATTGTAGGAAGAGGTGGTTGGGGGACTCCTCTTCCTGCTGGCCCATAACGCACTGATTGGGTGGTTGAAGGCCTTGTTTCTTGAGTTGGTCGACCTTAAGAAGCCTGCCATGAGCTAAAATCCAGACTAAAGCTTGAAACACTTAAGGTACAGGGGCAGAGCAGATCTTGTTAAAGATTTTTTGAGGGGGTTCCATGGAAGATTAGAAAGAAGCCACAATAAAGGTACTACACGGGAAGGTGGCCCAAATAAGAGTGGCATTTCCTACCAGAGGGATGAAGAACCCTTGGAGGGCGTGAAGCATGGCAAGGAGAGCTGCTTTCTGAGTCTGTTAGAGCTTTCCCAAAGACCGGGGTCCAAACAGTAGAATCTCCACTACGCTCCACATAACAACTACTATGGAGTTCTCATTGGTGGCTATCCTAAAGAGAGAGGGCCAGAAGCCTCCAAAGGTTGATTCCTAGA